AACTCAAGTGCATTCAGAGGAAAACTAGAACTTGACTAATATATAAGATTCCTTTATCACAGATGCAGAGCAGCTTCCAGCAACCTTATGTGCCCAGTCCAATGCACAGAGCAGGGTTAAAACATGGTTTTGTTCCTCAACTTGTATGCTGCAAAGAATTGGTAGCCAGTCTTTTCTCAGTCTGTTCTGGGGTGGCCATTTGTCCAGGTATCCCTATTCCCATCCTTCACTCTTTTTGCCTTACTAATCTCAAATCTAACAGGAGGGCAATGTGATCCCAGCATTACAATCATGACTTCATGATATGAGTTCACTTTTCTTTGTAAATTCTGTTGGAAAAATTTAACCAATATTATTTCCCATGGCAAGATTTAACAGTCTTTTTTAAAGTTGTGTTGATTTTTTTTTCCCTGTTCAATATATTAATAAGATTTGGGGTTGGGTTTTTGTTTTTTTTTTAGTTTTCCTTTTTCCTGATTTTTTCTGTTTTTACAATATTTTGATTATTTATTTACTCATTTGTTTGTTTATTTGTTCTTTTGTCGTTCAATCAGTTTCAATAGCTGTCCATATCACATACATGAATCTGGGATGCTTACAACACCAAAGAACAATAAGCAAAATATACATACAAACAACAAGAAATAAAACCATGTAAAATCATATTAAAAATCATAGAACATAATCATCAGAGTTGCAATCCATTTTCTGAATCAAACAATATATCTGATCCCCATACCACTTGACAGCCTTACAGTATATGTCTACCAAAGATGATAAAAGATATCTTCACATTGCCAACGCTTATTTGGTATTCTTTTATACATCTTTGACAATCTCTCAGGAGCTAAATACATCATTTTATAAAAGTTTTCTTTAAATTATAGTTCAGTGAAAATTTTAATCCCTTAATCCTCATATTTTCCCATTGTTTAAACATAATAGTATATCCATCTTTTGCCCATTTAGTCATACACTCTTTAACATAATCATCCTCCTGGTTCATTTTCAACAACAGTTTATATACATATCCAATCAATTACTATGCTACATCCAATCAAGAGGTTTGTATTTTTCCTCTTTTGGGTTAGCCTCTGCTATCTCTGGTAAAAACTTAAAAGTCGAATTCCCACTTCAACCTATAATATTGGTAGTCTTATTAAACATAGATAGCTATCTCATCCTAAATTTGAATTTATCTAGGCATAGAATCTATATTTCAGTTTTCCAAGATAACTGAATTTTAGTAATATGGACAGAATATAATTCCATTAGATGATTTATATTGTGCTCAACATATTTCCTGATATTTATTCATAGCCCAAGTTTAATAATAACTCTTGAATGTGAGATAACATTATAGTATATTTAATTATTTACAAATAAGATATATGACAAAGCAATAATCTCCATGATCATTTTAAATTCCTGGTTTATTCATTTGTATTATGTTCTTTTATTCTTTTTAATGCTTTAACTTCTTTAAAGTGTTCAATTATAATTTTAAAAACAGCCTTATGTGTAGTGATTTACTGCAAACTAGACAAGGGATGACAAGGACATGAATGATCCATCCTCAGTACATCAAGCAGCCAGTAAGGCTGCAACTGGTTTGCCCAATTAAATGGGGTGAAGGCCTATTCCTACAAGCTTCCAACAGGAATCATAAATCTAGGGCAACTTCATATTGGAATCCTGCCCCTCTGGGATGGGGGGAATGTAACTTCATTGAAAGTCAAAGTCAGTTGCTAAGTCATGTCCGATTCTTTGCAACTCCATGGGAAAGGCTACAGATATCTACAAGAAAATTGGAGATATCAAGGGAATATTTTTATATAAAGAGGGGCACAATAAAGGGGAAAAAATGGTAGAGACCTTACAGAAGCAGAAGAGGTTAAGAAGAGATGGCAAGAACACACAGAAGAACTATACAAGAAATATATTATTGATGGGGGCAGATGGTAATTGAAGATACCGAATATACTGTTGGAATTAGGATGTGATGTTACCCTAACATGGGTAATGGAATTCACAATCCAGTTGAGAGACATTACAGAAGATATCATATGGATTACAAATTTAAAGCCAATTGAGGATTTTATATATATATGTAAATAATTTTTTTTTAGTGGAATGGGCAGAAGAATAAAGATATTGAAAATATTATGTATGTATGTGCAGAAAGATATGGAGATCTGGAAAAAACTGCAGCTGTCTCTACTTGGAAGAATAGCAGCAGTTAAGATGAACATTTTGCCAAGATTTCTGTTTCTGTTTCAAATGATTCCGGTGCTTAAAAGTGATAAACAACTGAAAGAGTGGCAAAGTGGAGTGAATAAGTTTGTTTGGAATGAGAAAAAGCCGAGAGTGAAATTAAAAATTATGCAAGATGTTCCAGAACGGGGAGGTCTTAAACTTCCAAATCTACAGTTATATTATGAAGCAGCAGCTTTATCTCAAGCAAATGATTGGTTTGGAAGGAAAAAGACTGGAATATTGATTATAGAAAGTTTTGATCTTGAATTTGGATGGCATGCTTACTTATTTTATGAAAATAAAGTGGACAAAGTATTTAAAAGTCATATACTTAGAGACTCCCTGATGAGAGTTTGGAAGAAGCACCGACTTAAATGGGATTATAAAATACCGCTATGGCTGGATCTTGGTCATATTATTTGGAATACAAATATAATGTCACTCGGGGGGTTTTTATACAAAGAGGTTCTTTTTACAGATGCGGGCAGATGGCAGTTGAAGACATTGGAGACACTGTTGGACGAAGGGATTAACTTAACTTGGTTACAGTATAATCAACTTCAATTGAGATGGAAAGAGGACCAAAAAACTGGTATTATGTTGCATGAGGAAGAACTGGTTAGACATATAAAAGAGAAAGGTCCAATGCATATTAAAAGGCTTTATAATGTCTTGTTAGAAAGAGATTCAGAAACTGAATTGGTTAAAGATTGTATGATTAAGTGGGCACAGAATTTTGAAGAACCAGTGATGTTGGATACATGGGAAAAAATTTGGGTTCAGAATGTTAAATTTACACAGTCACAGAATTTGAGGGAAAATTTTTATAAAATGTTTTATAGATGGCATTTAGACCCTAAGAAATTATCATGCATGTACCCTAATGTTCAGCCAAAATGTTGGAGATGTGATTGTTTAGATGCTACATATTATCATGTCTGGTGGACTTGCAAGGAAGTTAAAGCTTTTTGGATAAAAATTTGGTGGGTTATGCAGAATGTTTTGAAGAAAAAAATTCAATTTTCTCCACAATTGTTTTTATTGGGTATAGTTAAGGGGTTTACATTGGGTGAAACAAAGTTGATATTGTACATGATAACAGCAACGAGATTATTGATAGGTAAATACTGGAAAAATGAAGCTTTGCCCACTATCGAGGAATGGACTTTGAAGATGGCCAGTTTTGCAGAGATGGCGAAGATTTCAGCATATTTAAAAGATTGTTCACAAGAGACTTATGAATGGGAATGGAAAAAGTGGATAGATTATGTCCAGAACAAATATCAAACCAGGAAGTATCAAATAGCTTTTATTTGAAAATGTTAGATTAAGATAGAAATATTTTAATGCAATGAAGATGAAAAACTATAAGGGGGATGGAGGGGTTCAAGTTTTATACAAAGGGGGGTTTTTCTCTTGATCTGAGTATATTGTGTGGAAGTCCGGGGGGAGGGGAGGGTTAGGGAGGGTTAGGGAAGATGAGGTTGGGAAGTTTGGGGTGGGTTGAGGGGGGGGGGGAAAGGGGTGAAAATGTAATTGTAAAACTTTTGCAATAAAAAAAAAAGAAAGAAAATATTATGTATGTAGACCTGTAGGAAAGTGGATCGAGATAGGTTAGCTTACTGATTGTTTAGCTTAGGAAAAGGGATGTTATGTTATATCAATATACATAAAAGATTTGAATTAAGAGATATATGTATGGGGGAGGAGGAAATGGATAGATTATGAGCTGAAATTGCTAAATTAGGATTTATTATATAGTTTTATAGCTGAATGTTGCTTTGAATGTTGCTTTGAAATGTATAGTATAAGGGGGAAATAATGATATTGTTAGAAGGATTTATTATATAATTTTACAGTTGAATGTTGCTTTGAAATGTATAGTATAAGGGGGATATAATAATATTGTTAGAAAGAAAGGGTCAGTATATGGGGGGTGGAATAAAAGGATGGTAAAGTATTATATAATCTGTTATTAACTTGGGTTTTATTTTGGAGAAGCCACAGGGGGAGGGGAGGGGGAGGGGGGGTTAGGGAAGAGGGGGGAAAAGGGGGGGGGGAATTTGTATTTGAAAAACTTTTTCAATTAAAAAAAAAAGAAATATCTTAATGTCCCTGATAACCACGATGGTGTGATCGCTGGCCTCATGTCAAACATCCTGGAATGTGAAGTCAAATGAGTCTTAGGAAGTATTACCAAGTATTCCAGCTGAGCTATTTAAAATCCTAAAAAATGATGCTGTTAAAATGCTGCGCTCAATATGCCAGCAAATTTGGAAAACTGAATGGCAACAAGATTGGAAAAGGTCAATCCAAAGAATGTTCAAACTTCCATACAATTACGCTCATTTCACATGCTAGCCAGATTATGCTCAAAATCATACAAGCTAGGCTTCAGTAATATGGGAACCAAGAATTACCAGAAGTACAAGCTGGGTTTTGAAGAGGCAGAGAAATGGAAAGTCAAATGGCCAATACTCGCTGGATTATGGCAAAAGCAAGAGAGTTCCAAAAAAACATCTACTTCTGGTTCATTGACCATACTCAAGCCTTTGATTGTGTAGCTCACAACAAACTCTCCAGGGACAGTATCTGGAATCAGCAGGCATCTGAATTAACAGTTGATTCAAAACCCTGACAACCTCTGCACCAGTGGTGGGTTGCCCCCGGTTCCTACCGGTTCTATAGAACCGGTAGAAAAGCCGGTGGGAGGCTCCGCCCACTGACCCTGACATCATCAAAATGCTTCTGCGCATCACAGAAGCTTCCCCACATGCGCAGAATCGGCCCCGCTGCGAACCGGTAGTAAAGGTAATTAGAACCCACCCCTGCTCTGCATCCTAGGTATATACATGTATATACAAATGAAGGTGGATTTCCTGTCCTATCCTCTACATGATAGCCCTTCTCCATTCCCGAGAAATGGAATATGGGAAAGAAAACAGTTGGGGCAATCTATCTGCAAAAGTTTAGTTACATACTTATATTTACATCTAATTCACTAATTTAATTTATTTAGTTTTGCTCTAAAATCATGTTTATGTTTTATTGATTACTATTAGACATTAAGATTGACTCTGTTTAGAGAGGGGTGTCAAACAAGATTTCATTAAAGGCCACATTAGGGTTGTGTTTGACCTTGGAAGGGAGCAGGTGGGTGTGGCCAGCTTGACATCACTCATGTCGGGTGGCCCATGTGGTGGCCAAGTGCTAAGGCAAGACTTCCTTCAGACCCTCCCTCCCTCTCATTGTAATCTCCTTCCTTCCTTCCTTCCCCCCTCCGTCCCTCCCTCCCTCCTCCCTTACTTCTCTTCTTTTTCCTTCCCTCTTCAATCTCCTTTCTTCTTCCTTTCCCTCTTTCCTTCATTTTCCTTCCTTGGTCTCTTCCTATCTTTCCTTCTTTTTCTTTGTCTTTCCTCTTTCCCTTTCTCCTTTCCTGCCCCATCTTAGATGCTCAAATGCAAAAGGGGAACCATTTCTCCTTTGGTTTTGTTTTTAGTTTGTTTTACTAACTGTCTGCCAGCAGAGACCTGCAGGAGGCCATCTCAGCCGAAAACGGGCTGCGAGGGGCTGCATACGGCCCTCCTGAGCTCAGTTTTCACTGGCAGAGGCACCGCGGGCCGGTCCTTTGCTGTTTCCAGGGCAGCGTCACGGGCCAGATATAAGTACCCTGTGGATTGGATCTGGCCCGTGGGCTTGAGTTTGACACCCCTGTTTTAGAAAATCTGAATTAAATATGTAAATGAAATTACATACTGCCCACCTCTCAGCTTTAATGCTTTTTTTCAAATTTTCTTCTAAGGTAATATCGATTTGCTTCTTTTTAAGACCTATATATGCTAGATGCCTTAAAGGACATTGTCAGTCAAAATTGGTGACCATCAACCTATGGACAAAATCTGTCTCGGTGCAAAGCAGGTTCCACTGTCTCCAAAAGAGAGAGGACTACTATTCCCCAGACTCCTACAATATCCTTCATGTTTCATTATAGTTTCCCAAAGATACAGTATTGGCTTTATTTGATCATGTTGATTATAAATGATGGTCATCAGCTTCTCTGATTGTTTTCTATAAAGCACTCAAAGAATAAATCAATAAAATAAATCATGCAGCAAACATAAGGCATTATTTAGTCATGCTGCTAAAAAAAGAATCAATTGAGAACTACAAATGCATCTTGCTATTTTTCTTTTTTACTCAACACCCACAACACACACACACACACACACACACACACACACATATACACATACAAGTACACACTCACACATATTTTAAATACATGATACACATGAAAACAGTATCTCTTCTCTCATGATTTTTAGCTCTTCTTTTATAAAGGTATTTTTTTAGTTTGCTTACCATCAGTGAACCAATAGAGAAGTCTGATAATGCATACCCATATCTCCCTTGTCCAACCTGTTGCTACTGGAATAAAAATTGGATACTTTGAGGTCTTCCAGACATCTTCCTTATCAGCTAAAGTGAAGAAAGAAAGTTATTTTAAACTCCTTCCTGGTACGTTAGGCAAGAGGTTTAAAATTTTGTGTCCACAATGTTACAATGGGATGAGAATACTCTCATGCATAATCTTCATAATTGGGCCAAGGGGAGGAGGAACCATGTGTATCTGTGTAAAATAAGAATACTGTATGTAACTAGTTGTGTTAAGCATGATGCATCTTTGTTTTAAATATGCCTCATATTATGTGCAAAGCTATCTATATACCAGAGATTTTGCATGGGACTTGAACAGTGATGGGATTCAGCCAGTTCACACCACTTTGGGAGAACTGGTTGTTAACTTTCTGAGCGGTTTGGCAAACTGGTTGTTGGAAGAAATTATTAGGGCAGAGAACCAGTTGTTAAATTACCTGAATCCCACCACTGGACTTGAAGTAAAAAAGACAGTTGCTGCTCCTTCTATACTTTCTATAGACTTGGTTAGGTAGTAAGTAAATAGGCCTGTAAATTTATAGGATACTAGTAAGAGTAAAGAATTATATTAGCTGAGCAATAGAAGGCACAACACAAACAGTTTTGTCCTTGTTTGATAGGTGGATTGAAGAAGCTGGAGACAGGCTTCAGACAACAGCTCTTCATTCAGCAACTATTTACAATCCAGCAGCCAGCCACTCAAACAGCCTGGGAAACCAGCCAATCACATTGTCTGGGAAACCAGCCAATCACATTTAAGGATTCTTCCCGCTCAAACAGTGGACCAGAGGGAAAACTATCCTGTCAATATCTAACAGTCCTTATCAAGATTCTTCAGGCATAGATACCTTCTTTACTAGATGTTCTATGTTCAACTTTAACAGGATTTAAACATGCCTTGCACCTGATGACTTTATAATACATTTAACTTTAAAGTTATACTGACCTGACTGTCAGTAGCTTGCGGGAAGGGAAGTTTTGTATGCAGGTATCCCATTAAAGATATGTTGGAAGAAATGTCCATCTGGGTTCAGTTCCAAGTGGGGAGAAAGACACCGAAAACATGGAGGCTGATTGGAAAGATGGTTTAATAGTGGACAGGACCACATGGTTTGAGGTCCTGGGCAATCAAGCACATGGGTGAGAGAGAGAGAAAGAGATATTTATACCCTCTCTTGGGCTTTGAACTTGTGTTGGAAGAAATATCCATCTGGTTTCAGTTCCAAGTGGGGAGAAAGACACTGGAAACGTGGAGACTGCTTGGAAAGATGGTTTAATGATGGACAGGACCACATGGGTTTTTGGGTCCTGGGCAAAAAAGAGCACATGGAGTGGAGAGAGGGATATATTTATACACTCTCTTCGGCCCTGCCTTAGACTTTCCTGTTTCCTGTACAAGAGATGTATCCCATTGCTGTCAGACTTCCAGGAGGAGTGGGTCTTAGCTAACTTTGTAGGCTGACTGTGTCCCAGGCCTGGTTGAATCTTGCTGGGTGATGATGTAATGAAGGGGCTCTGGGCAATTCCTATTATGGCTTAATGGCTTTGTCCTGGTTTGGATCCTGAGTGAGGGCTAATCCTATCATATCCTAAAGGCCATTCTTTTGCGTTGTAGATAAGCTGGCCCAGCCTTTTGTCTTGTAAATAACCAAAGAATCTGCTGGGGTTGATTTTCTGTTTTAAGATTTTTATTTCTCTTTTAGGAGAAATATTCTGCTTTTTTAATATTTCCTAGAATATTTTATTTTCCTAGAAGAGGGGTGGGTGCTAACCTCCTACAATCCCCCTTTTTGCCAAAATATGTGGGTGGAACACACATCTTATTGTCAAAAGATTAAAAAAATTGAACAGATCAGCGAGACTTGATGGGTACTTTTAATTTTTCTGGTGCAAAGGGGAAGGCATTGAGAGAGACAGCAGAAAAGGATTCCTTCAGTGGCTCCGAAAAGGAGAGCTTTCAACCATGAATGTCTGGCAGGCAGGGCAAAAGTTTTGGAAAGAAATTTACAGTATCCAATTTCTATGCCAATTATTTTCAGATGTTTGATGTTACTTTCTGTGAGCTTCCAGTCAGGTTTCAAGCAAGCACAAGTCCCAAAATTCTTCACAGCCATAGTTTTCCTTTAAATTACAGGCTGTCCATTTCCAAGGGTTGGTTACTGAACCTGCCTTAGCTCTTACTTTAGTGCATCCAGGATTTGTGAGTCTAAATTGAGGTTAGCCAGTGTGCAATCCAGACTTTTTAGTATTTTTAAAATTACACACAATGAGCCCTGGGACTCCTACTCATGAGACCACCAGTGCAACATATCCTGCTTTACCAGGCAACTGGGCAGCATCCAGGCTCTTTTGGTAGACCAGGGTAGACCAAGGTAGACCTTTCTACGGTTAGGAAATGCACAGAGGGAGCAAGATCCAGCTGTAATTGGGAGAAGGACTCCCTCACTCGCACACACAGAAGCATACATGCTTTTCTGGACTATAAAATTAAAATTTAGAGGTACTCACCTTCTTTCCAAGCAGCCTTGTTTCCTGTTCCTGTGAAAGAATTGTATTCTGATTGGTTGTCAGACTCTCATGGGGCCATGCAGGAGTAACTTTGTAGGCTGTCTTGAGTCCCAGGCTTGGTTGAACCTTGCTGGGTGATGCAATCTCCCCAGGTGCCATGTGGTGAGTTCTGTTACTAGATGGGTGGAGGGTTAATTCTGTTATGTCCTGTGGGTGAAGGTCTATTGTTTTGTAGATAAGATGGCCCAGTCTTTTCTCTTGTAGATAATCCTATTATGTCCTGGAGGCGAATGTCTTAATCCCATCACCCTGGAGCTGAGTCTTTTGTTTTGTAGATAGGCTGGCCCAGTCCTCAATGGGCATCAAATATTTGCTAGAGCAGGGAGCTGGGGCTGAGTTTCTGTCTTAAGATTTCTATTTCTCTTTTAGGGGAAATATTCTGCCTTTTTAGTATTTCCTAAAGTATTTCATTCTTCTAGGAGAGGGGTGGGTGCTAACTTTCTACAGATATATTAGCAACCCTTGAGAAGAAACAATACGAAGGCTCTAGCATAAGGCTTAGAATAATAAAAACCACAAAATTCTCTAGTATACAAGCATATAGAAAAAGAGAGGCATACTAACATAGCTTCTACAAGTGAAGTGAACTGCAAAAATAATCAGAATATAATGTTCTAAAGGACAGTATTGAAATATTGGGTTAGAAGCTTATTTCCTTTCCTTCTCTTTCAATTTAATTGCAATGCTTACAAGCACTTTCCTTCTTCTACATGGGTCAACAGAAGCCACTGATATATGTGAAAAATATATGGAGCTGCAATGAAGAAAATAACTCTCATCTCACTGGACTACAATGTCAGCTACAATTGGATTCCAAAGTTCCCGAATGACCTCGCAAATTAACTTGAGAAATTAACTTTCTCAAATATCAAAGAAAGGATATTTTAAGTGCTTCCTCTTTTTTAAAAAAAAATGATATTATTTCCTTTGTTATCAATGAATATCATATAGAGTAATATACACAAATACCTAGCAATCAAGATTAGCACCAGCAAGCAATTGCCAAGGCCCACCCTCAGGCAAAAGTCATATGATAACTTTCAGAGTATCCTGGTTCACTTCCCCTCTTTAAATCAATAAGACATGACAAGGCTAGAATAAATAATGGAGCTGTTTCTCCTTTTGAGCTGTGTTCAACAGCGGCCAAGAAGGTGAAATCAAGAATAGTGACAATGACAATGACGAGGATAGCTTTAAAGGAAAATGTATTATAAAATCTTCAGGTACAAGGCATGTTTAAATCCTGACAATGAATCTCATCATTGGGTTTGCTTGAAGAGAATCTTGCCAGGGACCTCCACAATCTGGAGATTCTGCCAGGTGCCTATACAAAGAGGCTTTCTTGAATGCCTCGGCTAACAGCGACAAATGCAAGTATGAATCTTCTAAATGCACTTATGGGACAAATATTGTTGTAAAACCCATAGTTTTCATTCACCTCTTTCATGTCCTTGCAAAACAGCAAGCAATTGATATATAATCTCAATGAGATGTAAAGCTAGGAGTCTGCCAACACGGCATCCTCTAGAGCAGTGATGGCTAACCTTTTTGCCGTCGCGTGCCAAAAGCGGGGGGGTCACGGGTACATGTGCCCCCATCCATAATTCAATGTGCCTCGCCCTCCCGCACATGCGCATGTGACCCCCCCACACTTCCCCCTGCTTTTGGCACACAATGACACGATGGGCCCAGTAGGCCTGGTAGGCCCGTTTTTCCCCCTCCCCAGGCTCCAGAGGCTTTCTAGGAGCCTGGGGAGGGCAAAAACAGCCTTCTCCATCCCCCCCCAGAGGCCTTCCGGAGGCTGGAAACAACCAGTTTCCCGACTTCTGGTGGGACCAGAAGGCTTGAAAATCAGATGGCCGGTGCGTGCATGTGCGCTGGAGCTCAGCTAGGGCAACACTCACGTGCCCACCAATATGGCTCTGCGTGCCACCTGTGGCACCCGTGCCATAGGTTCGCCATCACAGCTCTAGAGCCTAATCCTCCAGCTAAAATTTAGTTCTTGAGGTACACAAATTCTTATGTTTGCAATTCAGTACTAGTAAAATGAACCTTCGGTTCAAGCATTGGGCAGAATTACAACTTAAATTCCCTGATAATGAGGGTCTTCGCTACATAACTATGGCAGTTTAATGTTGCCTTAAAGCAGCTGTGAATTAGTCATAGTATGAAGTGCTTTATGCATTTCATGACATTTCAAGTTCATTTGCAAGATGCAATGACATACCCACAAACCTTTAAGCTTGAGTTTTCTGAAAAGCTCTAGTATTTTTCCCCACAGCAGGTAGTTTGCAAAAAAGAAAAATGTTTTGCCTTTCATTTCTGTACAAATCCTTATTTGCCTCACTGTGCTTATGTACTTAAGCTTTCCATTCCCAGGAAATTCTGTACCTTTCAGAGATATTGAATAGTCTGAGGGCCAGCATACACTCCAGTTTGGCTCCCAAACAGGAATCTTTGTCATATTTCATATCTTCAGTCTTTCACATCCATGCAGTCTTTTACCCATCTTCATAATTAAATATGGTAGGTCAATTAAGTGGATTATTATTCATATTACCAATGAAAGACTGAGACTGAGTAATCAATAGCTTCATCAAAGGGAAGAGCAGGAAATTTTTGTTACTGAGAAATAGCACCAAGCAGAAAAATTATCTTGCATGCTTTCTTGGTGAGTTTTTTCAGTTTTGTGAGGTCCTTAGTGCTTTCTGAGCTTGGTTGTTTTTTTGCAGATGTTTTGTTAGCAGGTTAGGTAACATCTTCAGTGCTAGCCTTAAAAGATTATTTTATTTTTGAATTCTTCTTAAAGAGAAAAGTGATACTTTTGGATGTAGAATAGTCTTCTTGCATTTATTTGGGTAAAGAGTTTCCAAGCAAGGTGCTTTAATGGCAGACTACAAGTTTGTCCTTCTTGCTTCCAGTCCAGCCAGGCTCATTTATAGGATTAACATATTCATAAGAGAAAACTGCTGTTTGTCCCATACATAGAGAGATACCCTAGCTGCTGCTTCTTGGACATAGATGTCTTTTTTTTTTTTTAAGACAAAGGGAGGATATTTTAATTGACAGAAAGAGAGCACAGATAGTGAGCTCCCTCTTTTTCACATACTAGGGCTAGGGTGCCCCCTGAAACATAGGTAGCAACTATGGATCCAATCAGGGATGAAATGCTACTGGTTTGGACCAGTTTGCCCGAACCTGTAGTAAAAAATTCTACTAGTTCGGATGAACCAGTATTTCTGATGATCAGCTGTGCCACACAATTTATATTTACTAGAAAGCAGGAAATCCTGCTTTCTAGCGAATCTAAATCACGCGGCACAGCTGTCTGTCCCTCCACTGTTCTACTTACCTTGGAAAAAGCTTCTTAATCCTTTTTTAGCACTGCGCGGAAGCGCCTATGGTGCGCATACGTGTGAAGTGCGCATTTGGTGTGCACTGTGCATGTGTATG